CCTCAGCCTCCCAAAGGCGCGGAATTAGAGGCTGAGCCACCAAGCCCGGCTCCCTGCGCCTTTAAAAAAACCTCTATACCACTTATGTCCAGAAAAGAGCAGCCAGTGGAGTGCTGGGATATGTTCAGCCTCCCTGTGTGCTGCTTTGCCAGTCTGTGACCATGTGGGCAGGACCGTGCCAGCCGGGCCTGTGAAAGGGACAAAATTATTATGGAATCGTCGAGGTGCGCCCTGGACTTCAGAAAATCTGCTGTGAAGTCCTTTCTGTGTCATGGAGCAAGCAGCATACATAGGGTAGGACCGTGGGATTCCCCGTGAGCTACTCATTCCTCCCGGTAGCTGCTGCCTGCCATTTCTCCACCGTGCTAGAATGCTGTTGTGTCATAAGATAACTCATTGGGCCGGGCTTAGTGGCTCACGCCTATAATCGCAATCCTTTGGGAGGCCGAAGTAGGAGTTTGCCTGAGCCCAGGAGTTTTCAAGACCAGACTGGGCAACATAGCAAGACCTCATCTCTACAAAAAAAACTTAAAAAAAATTAGCCAGGGTCAATGGCACATGCCTGTAGTCCCAGATACTTGGGAGGCGGGAAGATCCCCTGAGCCCTGTAGGTGGAGGCCTCAGTGAGCCATGATTGTGCCACTTCCAGCCTAGGTGAGTGAGACACTGACTTTTAAAAAATGACTAATTGTAAAAGACCCTGCCCTGAAAATGACTTAAAAACAAAATGAAAGAGAGGAGCTTGTCATTTGTCCCGTTTTTCCTCTGTAGAATGGGAAGAAAGAAAAGGGCATGGGGCGCAGTCAAGGGGTTTTCCTTTGGGTTTTTATCATGCCTGTGGCTTGTCCAACCAGCACAGCAGAGACCTCTGATGCCTTCTGGTAACATCTGGAATGAGTGAGGAAAGTTTACACAACATACAAAGTGATGCCCATGCTAAGTATTTTCCCAGAAATTTTGGTTTCATGTTTCTCATTGGCCCTGCCTCCTGTGCCTACATCATCCAAAAACACCTTTAAAAAAAATCCAAGCCGGGCTCGGTGGCTCAGCCTGTAATCCCGCGCCTTTGGGAGGCTGAGGTGAGTGGATTGCCTGAGCCCGTGGGTTCGAGACCCGCCTGGGCAGCGAGACCTCATCTCTACAATAAATCAAAAAATCAGCCGGGCGTGGTAGTGCATGCCTGTAATTCCGGCTACTCGGAAGGCTGAGGTGGAAGGATCGCCGGAGCCCAGCAGGTCA